GAGAGAGAGAGAGAGAGAGAGAGAGAGAGAGAGAGAGAGAGAGAGAGAGAGAGAGACTTTAGCCAGAATAGGAAGCTGATTCCATTTAAAAAAAAACATTTGTATAATAGGATGTAAGTTGGCTGGTTGATAACATCACATCAGCACTGTTTTTGAAGATAGAATGGAATGTTATAGTAGTTGAAAAATAACAAATTAACCTGTAGAAAAAAAGCAAGGAAAATCTGTGTGATGAAAAGGACAGAAGCAACACAAACAAATAACTAAAATACAGACCTGCTAGGGTCCAAGCTAGATAAGCTGGGAATTTCTCTCTCCCATAGGTGACTTTTTGAACCAATGTAATTTCTAAAACATCTGCACACTTTCTTATCTGAGATCACAAGTTTCCCTTCCTGTTGAAATTAATTACATTAGCTAACTTGATGGCTGTACTAAATTATTTCTGTACTGTAAACTGCGGATGGTTAAAACATAGTAAAGTAGTAATATTTTACTATGTTTTAATCAGGCAAGTAATAAAATATCCTTGCCTTGTTTGTGAAGCCTATAAAGGTGTAAGATAAAGATAACCTTTATTGTCATTTTTTTTACTGTGGGCACATTGGCACACATTAAAAATGAAATTTTGTTGCTTGCTCTCAAAAGCGTACACATGCATGACACACATTTAAATATGCTATTTACAACATATGTATAAACTTACACCCTTATATAATTTAGTTACTTGAAACAGAAACAAGATTGCCCATCATATTTTTGCAATTACGATAGAGGAAATCTAAGGTGCAATATTTGAATTTGAGTTGCATAGACTTTTAAGTTTAGCATTATGTCAGAATCAACACTGTACCCATCACAGCACTTTAAGTCTCTGACAGCTATCTAAAGTTGCAGAAGATATCATCATAAACAACCACCTCAGTGATTTTTAAACTCTATCTGCCTATATAATGGGCATGGAATGTCTGTGGTACTAGTATATTATCCATAATATAGTTTGAAACAGGAAACAGCTTTAACTCTCTAAGATACAGTCACTAAAGTATTTTGCATGACCATTAGGCTGGTGTTGTAAATTCTGAATGCTTTTTGCAATAGTCTTAGAAAACTGGTAAAAATGAAATTAAAGTACACTAAAAAGTTTTAATTAAATGACTATCTGAAATAGTCCAGAGGTGAGAACTTGGGATAGATGGAGAACTGCAGAAGGATAATTATACACACATACAGGTATATGCTCTATTTCTTCTTAAAGAAGTTAGTGTCTTTAATTAGAAAATATTGATGCTTCATGGTCACCACAAGCTTTGGTACCCACTGCTCTACTAAAAAATTACATGCATAGGAGACCTTTGACATCGACTATTTCCTTTTTCACCTATTTCTCTGGTGAGCATGCATTTCTTTATCTATGCCAACAACCATCATCATAGATCAAGAGAATAAACCATAAAAAGCCAGGCATGAAAGAGTTTTTTACTTCTAGGGTATTTTACTAATTTGGAGCACATGCAGGCATTGTGCTGCACAACAGGTCTCAACTGGTTATAGTGAAAGTCTCCCAAAATTTATGTCAAATGGAATCTTGATGTTTTAGAAGAAAATCTGATGTTTTGGAAGATTTGAAGCTAATATTAAGATAAAAAAGATTCATTATACCAACAGGGGAAAAAAAAACCAAATACAGGGATCTTTGAAATTCCTTATAACTTTCTGATTATACAAAAGATATTTTAAAAGAACACTCTTAGTGGCTTCCACGGAGTCTAAATTTTGGTGGGAATGTGCAACAGCAGTTTTCTGAACAAAACTAATTAACTGACCTCATCAACAGTAAAAGCTGTATAGTATCAGACAACATAGTAGAAACAATCCCGTAACAGCTGTATACAATAGTGCAATGGTGGCGAACCTATGGCACGCGTGCCAGAGGCGGCACTCAGAGCTCTCTCTGTGGGCACGCGCGCCATGCCCCAGAGATGGCAACCGTCCCTCTTCAACCAGGCGCCTGCTAACTCACCGAGGTCCCACGTGGCCGGATGCATCCCAGCACGGCTGGTTTCCCTCCCCTCCGTCCCATCCCTCCTGGCCTCGCATGCTCTCCTTTTCCTGGACACGACCCACTGCATCGCCTCCTCAGCTGTCGGCTTCTCTGAACTGCTGCTGGTGGGCTGCAGAGCCCCAGAGTGCACTGGTTGAGGGGCCAGCAGGCTGTGGCTGCTGACGGACACTGTCAGCCCCCATGCGCTCGCTGGCCTCTAAGTGTGGGTGCCGATGTGTCAGGCAGCAGCCACCCCAGCCCCTGCCTCGCCTTGCCCTGCGACAATGGCACCCCTGCCCTGCCTCCCCTTGCCTCGCCTCACCCCGCAGGACGAGCCTCCTGCCCACCGCCTCATCTGCCAGAGACCCTCCGGATCTCCCCCAACCCTGCCCAGTCCCCAGAGGGGTCCCTCCCCACAAGCAACATCAAGGTGACCATGCCCACCTTGGCCACACCCACCCAGTCTGCTATGACCACCACAGCCATGCCCACCTAGTGGGCACCCGGCGAAAAATAAGTGGGTTTTGGGTTGCAGTTTGGGCACTCGGTCTTTAAAAGGTTCGCCATTACTACAATAGTGTCTACATATACTTACCACCAGTCCCAAAGGTGCTTTTCAAAAGGCAACTAGACTTTCTTTGTTTTTTTTCCTTGAAGATTGGTTTTGCAGTTCTGAAGAAGCTTTTTGGATGAGAAGCAAAACGTCTTCAAGGAAAAAACAAAGAAAGCCCATCTCCCTTTGGAAAGGACCTTTGGGACAACCAAGACCTGAATAACAGAGAATCTCCATAGATACTTACCACCAGATTTCCAATCACCATCACCATCATGAAGACTGTCAGGCAAAGGGCTTGACCTGCAACCTCCATACAGTCCCACATGGTTTCTATCCATTCTCCACAAAGAACTCGGAACACGATCAAGAATGAGTGGAAAAAGTCATTCATGTGCCAGCGTGGAAGTGTGCAGTCTTCTGAAATTTTGCATTTACAACTGTCATAGTTTTTACCAAACAGCTGCATACCAACCACAGCAAATATGAAGACAATGATAGCTAGCACCAAGGTCAAGTTTCCTAAAGCTCCAACTGAGTTCCCAATGATCTTTATTAGCATGTTTAGAGTTGGCCAAGACTTTGCCAGTTTGAACACTCGAAGCTGAAAACAGTAATGAAGAATTCATATGTAAGAGAAATTTATATCATTTATATAAATGAAGAATTGGTACAGGCTGGCTAAAATGCGGAGAGCCATCGGGACAGACTATTAACTGTAAACTTGTAGCCTGTGAATTATTTTCACTCCTCCGGTACCTATTTATAACACCGCAAACCCTCTCAGATTGCAAAACTTGTCAATTTTCAGCAGTGAGTTTTTGTTGTTGTTATTGTCTCTCTTAAAATTCTCCAATCTATTTTTCCAAAGCAACAAATACAGAACTCTGCTTCTATGTCACCATAAAAGTGAACCCCATTTCACCAAACTAAACTCAAAATAAAGAAAAAAATTCCAAATTGAAAAAAAAAACAGCTCTGAAAACATAGACTTCTTTCATACATGTTCATGTTCCAGTTTTCATTAGGCTCCTTGCTTTTTTGATTGTTGATGTGCAACTAATTGCTAGCACAAACTGAGAAAACATATTAATGCTTTTTAAAAAAAAACCCAAATCATCCAATATTCTTTCTTTACCAGTAGCAATTTTTGGAGGGAAAACAAAGGCCTCATCCATAGACCTTTCTCACCACGGCATCAAAATGGATGTTAAACCTTTTGTTGAGGATATGCCCTCACCATGGAATCTCCATTGTAGAGCCAGCCTGCTGCTGAATCAAGGCTGAAGTCAGATCAAGATGATCCATCAGGATTCCTCTGGGAAACACATCATCTCCCTTGCAGGTCACTCTGAGCAGGTCAGTGGCTTGAAGGACCACTGCAGGAATGCCCCTCCCATTTGGCCATGAGGTTTGCCCCTCCCATTTGGCCATGGGGCTTGCTTTGGCTGTTGGAGACAACAGAACGTCTCAACAACCTAAACTATCTTTCTTTCATAAGTTTCTAATAGCAATTTCAGAAAGTTGCCATTACTTCCATTATCCTCAGCTGCTGCTGGCAATAAGAGCAGGAAATCTGAGATAGAAAGGGTTGTTTCAACCTCCCTGCTTCTCCTGTCTGGCTTCTGCCCTTACTTCTGTGCTTCTCCCTAGTATCACAAACCACTGTCCTGTCATGCGAATGTAGCAATTTTTCTAGCTTTGTTTTGGAGGTATCTTATGAACGCTGTGGGGACAATGAACGGGTATGTTTTCTTTCCGTCTCAAGGATGAGAGGAAAACACATAGCGCTCTCTCTCCCCCTCCCTCCCTCTCCCTCCCCTCCATGTTTGTGTATAGGAAAAAGCCATAAACTTGACAGCTTTATATTTGAAGGGGCTTGCTGCTAATCATTCTGAATGCTTGTGAAATCCAGGCTGTAATCAATTCCAGAAGGGCCTAGAAATTTCTGATTCCTCAGGGATCCTTAGTTCTTTCCAGGAAATATAAAGCTTCTAATTCTGCTTCCTTTTAATCTGCCCTTCCTATACCAAACACCTGCCTATCACAGAGATTGCTTATGTTCTCTATTGTTACATACTATGTAGGTAGATGCTATTAATATTGGAAATAGAATAGTCATCTCTCTCAACTTTAGGTATTCCACATAGGTTTTCTATTCTAGTTAAGAATGGCTAAAATGCTTTCTTTGGAGAAAACGGAACTGTAGATCCCTCCAGTATTTTCAATTTATTCCAGATGAAGTGGATTTTTTGGGGGGGAGGGGTTGCTTCCTCCAAAATGCACATCCCAAACAGGGAGTTTTCATTCTCCCCTAATCAGAACCCAGCAGACTATATATGTAATGACAATGCGTCAAATCAGCCCGTTTCTCTCTAAGAAAATAATTATACACATGGATATTCCATCCAAGTGTTTGCAAAACCTCTAATGAAGATCCTGGTAGGTTCTAAAATCCTAGTTTGGCTTTTCTAATGTAAAACTTCTGCTCTGTTATAACAATCTCCAGATAGGATAAATGGAGTCTATCAATTCCAGAGATATTATATGTCTTCCTGCTTGAGTGAACTAATCTGCAGATATCTGTACAATATGCTAGATCCACCGAGTCCATAATCCACATAGGATTTTTATCCTAAGGAAAATTGCAGCTGTGCTGAAAAAAAAAATCCCCCTGCAGGTCTGATATTTACCAGTCTGAAAGATCTTAAGACTGACAATCCATCCACTTCTTGAAGACCCAGCTCCATTAAACTGAGGGTTACAATGATGCTATCAAAAATATTCCAGCCTTCTTGGAAATAATAATAAGGATCCATGGCAATTATTTTGAGGACCATCTCTGCAGTGAAGATTCCAGTGAAAACCTAAATGTAGAATGCAATCAGTTAGTTATTCCCATGAAAATATCATGTATTATTTTGTTGTTTGTAAGCATACAACTCAAGAAACAATACTTGAAATACAGTGACAAAAACAAATGTTTAAACGTCATTTGTGCTCCAGCTCCAACTGAGGAAATACACGGCTTGACATAATTTTAAAAGAGCTGAAGTACAGGAGAACTTACACCATAAGGCAGGTCATGAACCATGGAAAGGTTTGTTGAAAACAACATGAATTAACAACTTTCAATCATACAAAAATAGTTCTAGATATGTGGGACTTCAACTTCCAGAATTCTCAGTCAAACAGCATTCCCTCTATAGTCCTAAGATTGGAGCTATAATTCTGAAAAGAAGGAATAGGGCCATGGAAAATACACATTTTCCATAAAATAGACTCCAGATTTAATCTCGGGAAGGATTTTAATATCATTGTGGAAAAAACAATATTATTTGCTATACTGATGATTCCTGCTAAAAAGGGACTAATGTCTGACTCAGATTTATATTTTCAAAAAGTTTAGAATCTAAGTAAAAACCTTTCGAAGGAATCTCAAATCGTCCAAATACTTAATATTTTAAGAAATTATATTTAAACTGAATGGTCTAAAGGTAAAAATTCTTATGATGACTTCCTTAGTAGTTAACCTATTACAAGGTACGAGTACTTATCTCATAAATTTTATTACGTCTATCATTAAGGTTCTAGTTGTTTACCTAGGTAGACAATTAAATGAAGAATTCTCTTTATTTGTAACCAATTATCAGAACAATTCCAAATCAAGTAACTGTGGGCAAACTTATACCAGCATGGCGGACATTTCTGTCTTGATTCTTCAAGTTCTGAAGAAATTGAAAACAAACAAACAAAAAACCCACCTTATACTAATTTCATAATTTACACTCATCAGAAAACAACAACTTCCCGAAAATCTGATTTGCAGATTCATTTATATGAATTTTCTTAATTTAATTTTCTGCTACAGCACATTTCAAATACTTAAAATATTTAAAAGGACAAACCTATTTCACAAATATTTAACAGTCGGTAAGGCAAAGAATGAAGTGCTGGACATTTTATTTATTTATTGCCATTACACAGAAAAGCAACTGTAGGTAGTGCACACTAAAAAACTACTGTACAATCAAAATATTAAAACAATTACAATTAAAAATACATCAAGCAATATTATTATTTATTAAATAGAGAAAAAACGCTGTTAAAACAATGCAGCCATCTTTTTAGATGACCATTTCTTTCAGGTCCTTAAGCAGTCATGTTTTGAGGGATATCTGGAAGGATATCAAGGATGGGGACAATCTCACCTCGAAGGTGGGGGGATAGGGATGGTGGTCCACAGAACGGGCACCACAGTGGAAAAAGTTACCTCCTGGGTCACATCAAATAAAACTCTTTTCACAGAGGGCAGATGTAACTGTGTGTAGGTGATCCTTCAAACAGGCTGGCCCCATGCCATGAAGAGCTTTAAAGGTCAAAAACAATATCTTGAATTGGATCCGGAAGCAAACTGGTACCAATGAAACTTGCAGAGTAAAGATGTGACACGTGCCATTCTACGGGCACACATAACTGCCTAGGCCACCATATTTTGCACCAGTTGAAGTTTTCAGATACTCTTCAACAGCAGCCCCATGTAGAACTTATTATAGTAGTCCACCCAGGAGAAGACCAGGGCGTGACTTTGTGTCAGTGACTTGTGAATAGAGCCTTTTTCAACAGGAACAGGCACAACCCAAAACTGTATCAAAAAATATCCTGCATCATCTTGTGTATGATGACTGGAAAAATGATGGAACCATCCTGTCCCAAATGAGGACTCTATAACCTGCACCCCATTGCTCAGCTGCAGCCATATAAGAGGACAATGGGGTAGAGCTCTCCTCTGAGAGTCCATTGATCTAAATATAACTTCAATTCAAAAAAGTATGTAGAATTTGTTCCACCCTCTGTTTCCTTACTATAACAAGACACCTAAATCAAAATTAGGTGTTAATTAAGGCTGTCACGGTTTATTCTAGTACTTGAAAAAATCATTTTCTAAAAACACATCTGGCATACTAATTTTTTAAATAGGCAGATTATCAGTATATTTAAGAGAAAGGACTTCACTTCCATACTATCCATCTTCTTGGTTTTAGTTCTTATTTAAGTCTTACCTGTAGGAGATGACCAGGTTGATCCGGAGAGAGGGGTCAAATGCTTCATCATTCATGAGTCCCTGCGAGCCCACAGGAGATCTAAGTCCAGCCCACCTTGAATGCCTTTCTTAACTCCCTCTAATTTCCCTTGACTGTTAGTAGACCAGATTCTTGTAGAGAGCTTAAGCTTGTAATAAATCTTTTGAACTGCCTGAATCTCCTGATTTCCCCGGCACTTGACATTACCAATTTTAACTGCTTATCATTTTGTTAAGCCGCCCAGAGTTACTTTATTGGTGGGTAGCATATTATAAATAAATAAATAAAGTTTAAACTATAAAATATACCATTAAGAAAAAAAATGCTACCTTGAGAAACATGAGATTGTAGGCCTGCCCAAGTGAATTGTTCGACACATTAGATCTTGAATGGTCCAAATCAGCATTTTTCCTGTGATTATGCAAGCATGAAGCAATGAATGTGTTTCTCTGTCATCTACCAAGTGCTACCATCATTCCATTTTCATTTCTTAATTGCTTCCACCTAAAATCTGTCGCACCAGCTAGGAACACCTAAAGCAGTGTTTCTCAACCTTGACAATTTTAAGGCATGTGGACTTCAACTCCCAGAATTCCACAGCCAGCATTGCTGGCTGTGGAATTCTGGGAGTTGAAGTCCACATGCCTTAAAATTGTCAAGGTTGAGAAACACTGGTAAAGCCAGATACACCTTTTCCAATGATGGCACTTCAGCAGAACCACAAAGACCCACTCTCCAAGAAAATGGAGAGTGTTTTAAAGTTTTATAGGTGTTATGCACATCTTGAATTACATGTTCTAACTGATTGATTCCAAATCTCTGCAAAGCCTAATAAAGCAGTTTTTTTTCTTGATTAGCGCCTTATTAGCTTTTTAAAGCTCTCCGTATACGTAACAGAGAAGTAAATCAAAGTTTCATAGCAGATTTCCTGTATTAGGCACACAACTATATGCAGGGACCTACCTTCCATCGTGTTTGTGATAATGCTTGCTATGCTCATTGCTCTTTGCCTTATGGTGGGGTCTTCTAGCAAATCCATCGATATCTGAAAAGAACTGGACCGTCTCTTTTTGCTTTCCATCTCAGAAGCATTACTCTATGGTGAAGTAAGAAGACTAAATTATCAAGATGATTATAGAGATATATACTGGAAATATAACCCAACGAATAACTTCAAGAATTTCATGCTACTGCACATGCACCTGAATCTTTCCATATTTCTTAAGCTTAAATATATGTCAACAGTAGATTGTATTTTATGCTTGTACATGTAACCAACTAACCCTGCACCTCTGCAACAGGCCATCTTGCATCTCAGGAGCTCTTGAGGGCTCTCATGCAAATCTTGTTATGTTATTTTGAAGTTCTCGTCTATAATAATTGAAACTACATTTCAGGTTTCCCCAAATCACACTTGGATCAGGATTATGGATTAGGTTCTTGACCCAGACTTTAGCACAGTGGTTCTCAACCTTTTTAATGCCGCGACCCCAACCGGTCGTAAGCCGAGGACTAAACCGGTCGTAAGTCGAGGACTAAACCGGTTGTAAGTCGAGGACTAAACCGGTCGTAAGTCGAGGACTACCCAACCAGTCGTAAGTCGAGGACTTTCCCTGCCCGGGAGCACCGCACATGCGTGGTTCCGCCCCCTGCGCCGGCCGAGGCGTAGCTGGCAAGCAGCAGAGACGGAGCAGGCCGACCACCAGCTGGCCCAGCCCAAGGGAGGTAAGGCACCCGCCGGAAAAGGGGAAAAATGGCGGACAAAAAAATGGCGGACAGCCTTGCTTGGCGACCCCCATGAAATGGTCGATCGATCCCAAATGGGGTCCCGACCCACAGGTTGAGAACCACTGCTTTAGCAGGAGTCAATCTATAGTCTCAGGCAGCACATTTTTAAATTTAGTTTTGTAGATCCTCTTTGGTGCAAGTAGAATCTGTTGGCATAGTTTCCTGCTATTTTGAAATGGAGTATATACAAAACGTATAATGTAATGTAGGTTTAGGTCTTTAGAAATACATGGGGTGCTGGTGGCACATACACAAATATTAAGAAAAGAAAGTGAAAAAAGTTAAAATACTGCCCAATAAGGGAAAAAAGTCCAGAAAATGGTGGCCTCCCTCAACACTATGTCATTACTATCCCATTGACTTAGTCCCATTGTCTTCTATGTACTGGTGAATATGAGTCATATTTTCTGTAGAACTGCAACATGAATTGAAATGATCGTGAATATTCGTTTAAGCATGAAAATTCATACTAGAGATTAGAAGAATTAGTTTTATGTTTAGATAACCTGACACCTTTCACATGGGGGTCCAGAAAGAAAAATTAGGTCATGCAACAGAAGTCATTTTAGCAAACAGCTTTATGTTTTTGAGCCAGTGCTCCTCCAGGCCTTCAATCCATTCTAGACAATTGTTTAAAAAATTAATAACAAATTTATCCCAGGTACACCTTGTTATATGCTCTTTTGCCACTAAATCAGCCTAGAAATAAAAACATGACTTAACTGAACTTCAGCATGCCAACCAGAAACCAGGAAGATACTGTATGGAGCTGCAAACATAATATGTGGGTAAATGTGATTGCACCCCTTTTTACAATCGGGGAATGAGTTTTTATACAGTTGGAGGACCATATAGTGAAGAAAATCTTGGCTTGTTAATGAGGGGGATGTTAATCTTAGAACATACCCTTGAGTACAAAATGGTTCTTTCACAGAGAACAAAATTAAGGTCCTGATCCTGGCATGGATGGCAGGATAGTAAGCCAGGTAGATTTCACCCTCCATTCTGCCCACAATGGTCTCCATCCAATCATATTACCTAAGTGTAAATTTTTGCAGCTCCACACAAGTTTATGTCTATAAACACACAAAAAAAAACCATGGACATTCCAGTATACAGGCTCAGTGTAGGCAAGATTTATTGCTTTCCTTTGTGCCTTTTTTTTTTTTTTGCAAAGCTGGTTTCTAGGAGACCTGCTGCCTCAGGAAGTAGCCTTACTAGGCTGTAGTGCCACAGAGCATGGAAGAATGCTGGCCTTGTAGCCAGAGCATGGAATACTTCACATTCTATTGTGATAGAAGTGCCTTCTTGTTAAGGAAAGGCAATGAGACAGACACCCGTGGGAGAATTAAAAAGAGATAGGAACAGGTGTGGCAATGGAAGAGAGTACGTAGGGGTGCACAATTTGGGGGACTGAGTAGCAATAGCACCAGAAATAACACTTAGACTTACATAGTGCTTTACAGCACTCTCGTGAGTGGTTTACAGGGTCAGCATATTGCCCTCAACAATCTGGGTTCTCATTTTACCGACCTCGAAAGGATGGAAGGCTGAGTAAACCTTGAGCCTGTTAGGATCGAACTACAGACTGTGGGCAGAGTTAGCCTGCAATATTGCATTCTAACCACTTTGTCCCCTACAGCTCCTACCACACTGTGTGGCAAGGGTTGCATTCCCAAAAGTAGGAGACCAGGATAAATAGGTAAGATCAAGGAAAGTTTACTTCTAACAAATAAAGTTAGTGGAATTTCACCCTTTTTGTACATTAAGAATCACATTAACAGCTGTTTTGGGAGAGGCTCTAAGGTCCACGTGGACATATCTAGAAACAAAGTACATAATGGATCTTTTAGGCAAGGATGAGCAGGAGCAAAGCAAAGGTAAAGGAACAAAGAAGAAGGTATTTGCTAAGCATAAATTAAATATAAATATGTCAATACTTTTGGATTTAATTTTGCTAATTTAATCTTATTTTCCTTTAAATCACGTCGTGTGTATGTGTTTGCAAATACATGCAGCAGAAGTCAGACCATTTATTTTTGTGTAGCTCGGTTTTAAAGCCCGGAAAGAGGCAATATTGAAAGCATTTCCAAGATGCAGAGGCATTCACGATTTGGATTCCATTCTGGAGGCCCATCATGCCTACGCTACTTAAATCTTCCTTACACTGTCATCGGTAGTTGCTTTATCTATTATCACCTCTGGGAGAAGCTGTCCAGTAGGCGACAGGAGCACAGGTGGTCCTCCTACCAAGGAAACCACCCCATTGCAGTCCACGCTGCTCTGCATCTTCCCGTTCATTGGAAACATGGTCTGACTGATGTTACTGCTGCGTCGGTCACTATGTCTGCGAACAATAAAATAGGAACCATTCCGGCTTCCATTTTCTTCAAAGGTGCTGTGCTCACTATCGGCATCTGAGCCTCCTTCGGTAGTTGGACCTTTGAAGCTGGAAAAGCTGGCCCTGCTATTGCGCCTTGTGGGAAACAGCATTGACTAAGGAGACAGAAATTGAACCATCAAGTGAAAAATCGTAAATCATATACAAATCCAAGCTAGCAAGCTAGGCAATAACTTTGAGAGGAAACGTACAGTTGATCTTAGGAAGTATGACACAATCAAATTTCTAAATTGATTTCATGGGGGTCAGACATACCTCCTAGGGCAGTGGTGGCGAACCTATGGCACGGGTGCCAAAGGCGGCACTCAGAGCCCTCTCTGTGGGCACGTGCGCCGTCACCCCAGTCCTAGGCCTTCAGCTGGGTTTTATAAAACCTTTTCGCTTTAGGCCTCCGCCGCCATGTGCAAAAAAAAAAAAAGGTTCAATCAGTCAATTTCAGCTTCTAGCAGGAAAAAAAAAGATCTTGCAAAGTTGGAATTGATTGATTGAACTTTTTAGTCCCACCCAGTCTGCTGTTATCACCGCAGCCACGCCCACCCAATGGGCCACACCCACCCAATGGGCCACACCCATCCAATTGGCCATGCCCACCCGGCACCTGACGATGCATAAGTGGGTTTTGGGTTGCAGTTTGGGCACTCGGTCTCTAAAAGGTTCGCCATCACTGTCCTAGGGGATAAAGCAGGGTCCCCAACTCTCGGGCTGCAGCCCACTACCAGGACATGGCCTGTTCAGGACCGGGCTAAGGAGGTGGTGGGTGAGAGTGATGCGCACGTAGCTCTACTTGCGTGCACAGTGGGAGGGCAAGAGCATGCACGCAGCTCCATTTGTGCGAGTGTGGGTACACATGCCTACTGCTTCTGCAAATGGAGCTGCGTGCATGCTCACCCGGAGCCATCCCCTCCCCTTCCCGCTTGTCTGCAAAGCTGGAAAGGTTGGAGACCGCTGGGATAAAGGAATGCAGGTTTGACTCAGAAATAGGGAAGTAGAACCACAAGTCATTACAAAAAGGTTACTCAAGTCTTGGCAAAGTAGAAAACATGAGAAAGAAACTCAAAATATTCAAATATTGTTTTCTACCACCTCCTCTTGCCTCCAAGGATACTGTCTATAATCTCAACTTATCTCTTATTTGGGAAGATAGCCATACTTCCAAACAACCACTATTGTGAAACAACCACTATTTTCATTTTCTAGAAACATCTACATGGCTCTATGAGGTTTATAGGCTTTCTTAGGAACATGGTTAATAGTGCTTTGAAATATGAGAGCTGTTCTATTTTTTTAAAATTAAAAGAATGTTTAAGAAATAATCAACATGGTCAAATAGCTTGATACGTATCAAGAGCGATGTCCTTGGGCACTATTCTCCCCCACCGCCCCAAATTTCAACAAATGCTAAAAGGTACTTCCAAACACATAAAATTTACTGCATCAAAGGGCTATCAATAAAGCTCTACACATTAAAGGAAAATTCAATTATAATTAGTGGTTCCATTGAGATGATAATCTTTAACTGGTAGAATCCTTGTGCTACCAAGTTCTTGTTAATAAGTCATGAAAATGTCCATACAGTACATTTAAATAGGTTATTTGGCTATCAGAGATATAGCACCATTCTGTCTTTCCAATATATCAACGAAAACCCTACTGCAGGCGTCCCAACCCCTGAGGAGGTCCATGGCTTTTTAGGAACTAGGCTGCGCAAGCGAGTGAAGCTTCATGTGTGTATCTGCGGGATCTAGGTAGCATGTGAAACCACACACACCCTCCACGGTCCATGGAAAAATTGTCTTCCATGAAACTGGTCCCTGGTGCCAAAAAGGTTGGGGACCGCTGCTCTACTGTCTTTGTTAGAAAAATCCTATTCCTCTTTCCCCAAATTTCATACTATTACCTCCACTTCTTTTCTGTTTGGCTTTCTAATAACAAAAAGATACTATTGTTCCTCAAGTTACTGCAAGTAATGACAAGAACCTGAAGCCCAGAAGGAAATAACCTGTTTATATACGACTTTCCTTACATGAGGGCCATAAAGTGTGATTCAGGCCCTCGTCTGCAACAATTTGGATAGATATACCACAATATATCTGACCTGGTATGGAGAAATGACCCTGTTGTCATATGTGAGTCTATTTCCTTCCAAGGAAAATCGAAATCCTTTCCTTCTGATGCTGCTATCTGATTCTGATTTTGGAAACATTTTGCCATTGCCTCCCGGTTCTCCAACAGACAATTCTCTTTGTCGTCTTTTTTTCCTTCGGTTTCTTCTTTCTTTAGCACTTTTGGAGCTTGATAATTCTGAAGATGTTTCTGAAAGTCTTCCAAGAGCACCATCATCCCTGAAATCTTTACAAGCTGCTGCTGCTGCCAGTGCCTATCATATGAAGGGATCAACTATGTAAGTACTCTTCACACAATTTAATTATTTAGTATGGTGCTTATTACTCCAAAAGAACACAGCTTGAAGAATACAAGTGGGCAAAAAGAAACATGCATGTATCAAAATATTAGCAAATGAACACCCACCAAAACAGGGGCTCTTAATCTTTTTCTTTCATGGATCCCTTTGAGAGTCTTGCGACACCTATGGATACTTCCTTAGAAAAATGCCTTTAAATGCATAAAGTCAAATACATAAATAGATACTAGATTACAAAGGAAATGTATAAACTCAACTACATACCAAAATATTTAAAAACAGCAATATGGAATACAATATATGTGCTTCATTATTAAGCCATTTAATCAACACAAGCTAAGTTTCAGTTAAAATAAAATTACAATTTTTCCCTACTGAGGTTCATGAACCCCTTGATATTTATCAGAATGCCTGATATACAGGTAGTCTTTGACTTACAACAGTTCATTTAGTGACCGTTCAAAGATACAACGGCATTGAAAAGAGTAACTTACAACCATTACAGTATTCCCATGGTCATGCGATCAAAATTCAAACACTTGGCAACTGACTCATATTTAAGAAGATTGCAGTGTCCTGCAGTCATGTGATCCCCTTTTGCAACTTTCTGACAAGGAAAGTCAACAGAGAAGCTAAATTCACTTAACAACCATGTTACTAACTTAACACCTGCTGTGATTTACTTAACAAGTAAGGCAAGGAAAGTCATAAAATGGAGCAAAACTCACTTAACAAATGTCTCACTTAGCAACAGAAATTTTGGGCTCAATTGGGGCCGTAAGTCGACTACCTGTAAATATTTAGCTGATATATAATAATGAGAATTAGAATCTAGCCTGTGTGTTGTGTGTTAACTTTAGATGTATCATTAAATAAGCCAAGGTACTGTATTTCATACTCTGTACATAATATCGTAATAGCGTTCTTTCTATCATCATGAGCACCCATCTGGCTCTAAAGCTCTGAAACCCAATCCCATCCTTATGAAGGGTAATAATACTATGTAATACCCTTAATTTCCTGTCATCCTTGTTGCTGTTGCATCTGTTCTACAACTGTTATTTGGCATTTGACAGATGCCATATGATTCATATGCTTTCTATATGGTTGATAAAGGAAAGACATAATGAGCCCAGATAGAAATCTGTTTTTATAAAACATATTACATCTGGCACTAGTTTACAAACATATACCTCAAAAATTCAATAGATTTCTTGAATACTCTGAGATTAAAAGCAGTGCTGCATGGGAGTCTCACAAAAGTCTTTCTAAAAGGAAATGATTTTGTGCAGTTCCTACTTATCTATATTTACTTTTCTTGAATATTTCTTGAATAGCCAGTACCTGAGCTTCCTCTTGTTGCCTTTTCAGATGCTCAAGCATTTGCTGATACTCAGTCTCCTTTCGCAGAGCTTCATCCATAGTAGCTTGATTCTGCTCATCATAAGCCATAGCTACTACTGCCAAGATCAGGTTGACCAGATAGAAAGAGCCCAGGAAAATCACCACAACGAAAAAGAACATGTATCCTTTGCCAGCAGCCCGCAAAGTCTGGGAAACCAAGTAGGAACTACTAGGTTAGTAAATGAGTAAATGTTAAAAGTATGTGTGTATCTCTCTATATTTATATATCTTCTGTTGATGTTGTCTCTTAAATACACGGAATGAACAAACAAGGTTTTTGTCTTGGATCTATTATTCAGCAATATAAAAATCTTCCCTGAATTTTATACATGTTCTATTCAGCTCTTATCACCATTGTTTAAAAATGGGTATAATGAAACTGGGAAGCTGCATTAAATGATATCAGGGCTTTCAATGCTGCATGTGAAGTTTAGCTGTTTCTCTAACGAATGATTCATAGCATTTCCTCATCCAAGACATATTCAATATGACAGGGTGGTTTATTTTTCTGTTCAGTCACTTTCATAAACAACTTTTGGTCCTGTCTCACAATTAAAAGTATTATTTTTCTCACCTGTTGATAAAGGTTTTCCCAGGCATCCTGAGTCATCAGCCGAAAGAGTGACAAGAAAGCCCAGCTAAAGCTATCAAAGCTTGTATAGCCATAGTCCGGATTTCTACCTATTGGTACACACATGTATCCTTCTGGACACTGCCTATAAAACAAGATGATGAAATGAACGTTTTTACACTTTCTATTAAGCATATGGAATATGTCTCAAAGCAAAAGTAAAGGAATAACTGCGTTTTGTACCTCGAAATACTGAGATGTGTAATAACGCAAACTGTATGGAACAGTTGAGAATAAAAACTTTATAGTGGCTTATTTAAATATTCTTGAAGAATTCCGTCTTTGAATATTCTGATGAATTCTAAACTAATCCCATATCCAGGATTAATATGAGAAATTACCTCTCAAATTTCATACTTCTTCATATATCAAATGAAATGCATCAATCAGACCAGAAACTTCAAATGCACTTTAAAGTGCTTGTTTTAGACTAAAATTGTTAGATCGCGCAGGCAGTAAGACACGAGTCGAGTGACAGTCAGCTCTCGGTTTATTGGCAAGGCATCAAGTAAATCCGGACTGGCTCTCTGGGCCAGGGGAGCCCTCTTTTATGGGATTCCCCTGGCTTGTAATCACACAATTCCATTGGCTGGTAAGACCCTGTTGCTAGTTAGCCAACCAGCAACAGGCATGAAA